GAATAATATGAATTTCTCAAGTTAAGAGCAGCTTCAAATTTATATAACTAATACTTAAATTAAAATATAGATTTAGTTTCTCATATAGATAATTTTTATCTGTTATATTTATATAAAAGTGTGTGCATCTTATATATATATATATATTTTTTCCTCATATGGATTTATTATACACTTTTTTCGTGGTAAACTATTATAGACTTTTATATGGGCAAAAAAATTAAAATATTGTATTTAAATTAAATAATTACGCATTTAATGCTGTTTCGTAAAAAATTACACATCTACTGCACAATGTGACGCCCCATTGGGGCGTCTTATCCATGGGAGAGACGCCCCAATGGGGCGTCACATGTGACGCCCAGAACTTGCGTCACATGTGTGCTCTATATATTTCCTCACCCCCTCCATTCAATTCACACCTCTTCTCTCACTCTTCATATCTCTCTTCTCCACCAACATTCCTTTATCTTTAATTTAGTATTTGAATTTTAGTTGTAATTCTATTTAAAAATGAGCTCAAATCCTGATTCTGTTCGTGTTGTGTTATATTACAATGGTAGGAAGGTAGAAGGTCGACGAGGTGTCATATTCGAAGGTGAAAAAAGGCCGACACGTATCCAACGCAACACAACCATTGGCAAATTGCATCAGAGAATTCGGCAGAAATTAAGTCTTCAAGACAACCAATGTATCACTGAGATCACGACAAGGGTGTGGCAAGGTGATAAATACATTAGTTTGAAAGTGCTTGACGATGAAGACTTGGAGATGACAATGGAAGAATTTTGCAACCAGTCAAGGACAGATTTTCTAGAGTTGTATGTCGACATCGTTGCAACGGAGAATGCTCCCATACCGGTGAGGTCAGTTTATTTAAATTCTCCCCGTCTTCCAGCTTCTCCTGCCGCTCATGCGTCTCCAGTTGGTATCTTTTATGAGGGAGATGAAAATGATCCGACTTGGGAAATGCACGACGAAGATGACGATGAAAATATGGCAATGGAAGAACATCTTCTGGCGAAGGATGCTAGTGCTTCAGAAGGAGATGAATCTCGTGAGATGGGTGCGTCTGAAATTCCAATATTCCATCAACCAGTCGTCGCGCAAATGCCGCAGTTGAATGACGTTGCGTCTGCTCCGTTTAGTATTCCACAAGAAGGTAATTGTTCCCATTTGTATACTGCGTGAATAAATAACTGATTTAATACCTGAGTTAGTAGTAAGTTCGTATTAAAAAATTATAATCCGCAATTGCAGGTGACACAGATGTTATTCCTTTTTGGGAAGGAATTCCGCATTATTCTTACATTGATTGGAGTTATCAGAGCGAACAAGAATCATGTACTGACGGTTCGGTGTCTGGACCGGCTTCAATACAAGGTCTGTGGCAACTGGGTGACATGTTATTTGTCAATCAAGAATTTGCGACAAAAAAAGATGTCCAAATGGCACTTAAGCACAACCTTATTAGGGAGCATCAAGAAGCCATTGTAATTGAGAGCACGCCTGCAAAGTTGTCCATGAAATGTTGTGCGTACGATCAAGGTTGTCCGTGGCGCGTAAGGGCGATCAAACCGGTGTTTCGTGAAAATTGGAAAATAACGAGATGGGGTGGAAAACACGAATGTGTGAATGAGCACATTTCCCAGGGTCATAGACAGCTCGATGCGGACGTTATTGCAGATCTCGTGATAGGTACCTTTTTGTATTTTAAATGTGTGATTGACCACAAATGTGTAATTAAATTCGTTCGATGTTATCGAGGCACTGATATCCTCTTCAATGCAGGGATGATAAAGTCTGAACCATCTGTGTCAATCTCTTTGGTGCAAGAAAGGATAACTGCTAAATATGGCTTTCAAGTTTCGTACAGAAAGGCGTGGTATGCGAAGCAGAAAGCGATGGCAATTATGTACGGTGATTGGGAGGAATCATATGCTTTTTTACCAAGGTGGTGCGAATACATGCTTCGCTTTTCTCCAGGTTCATTTTATCATATACAAACTAATGATCTTTATGCCGAGCAGAGCTTAGTTTCTGGAAAAATGGTTTTTCATCGCATTTTTTGGACGTTTAGAGAGTGTTGTGAGGCGTTCAAATTTGCCAAACCCGTCATCCAAATTGATGGAACACATTTATATGGAAAGTACAAAGGGAAATTGTTGGTGGCCACAGCCCAAGATGGTAATAATGAATGTTTACCGATCACATTTGCCATCGTAGAAGGCGAAACTTTGGAAGCATGGGATTATTTTCTCGTTAATATTCGTGCTCATGTGACTACGATGTCAAACATATGTTTGATATCCGATCAGAATGGAAGCATAATATCTGCTGTGGAAAATAACCCTACTTGGCAGCTGCCAAATGCGTATCACGTATTCTGTATTCGTCATATTGCAAGCAACTTCAATCAAAAGTTTCGAAATGAAGATTTGAAGCGGATGTTAAAGAATTTAGGTATACTCATTGACTGAATGCTTAATTATTTCTTTCCATTATGACTGTCAATTTATGTTTAATTCTTTTATGTCCAATTTGTGCAGGTTATACTCCAGCAATGGTTGATTTTGAAAGGAATCTTGCGAGTTTCCGTGAAAGTAGTCCTCAAATTGCTGAGTGGATAGATGCGATTCCTAAGGAAAAGTGGTCGCGTGCCTACGATATTGAAGGACGGAGGTACGGTCATATGACAACAAATTTGGTTGAATCTGTCAATAGGGTTTTGAAGGGGGCCAGAAATATGCCTATAACAGCATTGGTTAAGCATACATATAGCAGATTGGTTGCATATTTTGTTGAGAGAGGAACAAATTCTCTTGCACAACTTCAATCAGCTCATCGTCACTCCAAACATGTTGTTGAATTGGTCAAGAAGAACCAGGTAGATGCAACAGGCCACCACGTTCGTGCATACAATGTTGAACATACTGTATTCGAGGTTGACGCAGGTTGGGAATGTTCATATTCTGTCAACCTCCCACAGAGATACTGTCAGTGTGGAAAGTTTAAGGCCTTTAAGTATCCATGTAGTCACGCCGTTGCTGCTGCGTTAAGTGTTAGGCAGAGTGCGTTCACTTACGTTGACGACGTCTTCTTGATAAATAACTTGGTCGAGGCTTATTCTTTTCTGTGGGAGCCAATCGGAAACGAGGAAGCAATACCTGAAATTAGTGGTGCAAAGATTATTCCTGATTGTACTATGTTTCGTGCAAAAGGTCGTCCAAAGTCAACTCGCATCCGCAACGAGATGGATGAAGTTGAGACAAGCCAGAGCCGTATCAGGTGTGGACTTTGCAAGGAACGCGGCCATAATCGTCGGCGATGTCCAAGTCGTGGGAGAAACGAATGATTTGCATATTATGTTCATATTTTGCTGTTGGTTATGTTATTGCATGAATTGTAATGTCCGTTATGTTGGACTTTTTACTTTCCGTTTATGTATGTTTTTAATCTTGAATTATTAATTAGCTGATGCTGTTAGTTACCGTAATATAAATGCGCAAAGAACGATAACCAAAACATAGTGAATAGTCCAAATAATATAATAATGTAGCGTCCACAATATAACAACATGCTACACTCATATGACATATACAAAAGAACAAAATAATAACAATATGAAATAGTCCACAACATAGTGAATAAACAAAATGTCAATGAAACTAGGACCACGGTGGCCATGGCCTATGTCGTGCATCCCTATCTGGCAGTATACGTCTGCCCCAGACTGGGTCACCCTGATGGTCCTGTGGAGGTGGAGTGTGGAAGTCATCCATCGCCGCACGGATGAAATCATCTGATGGTCCTGCACTGCTGCCCGGCACATCAAAAGGGGTGTGTCCCTGACTGTGAGAATCCGTGGCTAGAGTCTCCCCACTGTCATGGCTCTCTGCAACAAGGCCCACAGAGCGATACCACTCCATCATGTCCTCTGCAGACCAAAAGGGGTAATCGACATCAAGTCCCTGTGAATAGGGCTGGAAATCAGGCTGTGAGGATGCCGGATCCGCTCCTGCCATAGCCATCGGACTAGCCTGGAAAACTGGCTCCTGCCCGCTCATGTAAGGGTGCTCAGATGCCGCCTGACTAGGACCTGCCGCATACTGCGATCCGTGATGATAAATCGGCTGTGACCCGTAAGTAGGACCAAATGCTGGAGGTCTAAACCATCCTTGAGTCTCGACCACTGGTCTAGGTGCTATAATCGGGACAGGTTCAGAGCAACTCTCTCACGTGTACGTCCTAATCCCCGTCCCTCCCGTCTATTACGAGGAACATCCACGATCAACTGAGGATCAGGCCAAGTCTGCACGGGGGGTGCCTCAGGTCCAGGCTCATCAACTCGTGAACTCTCACGAAACATCCCAATAATCCGGCCTATCTCCTCGTGGATATACTGTAGTCCAAATCGAGGAAACTCCTCCGCCGTTGTTGCATGATACAGCATTTCAAGACCGTCAATCTGCATATTACGAAAAAATGTTAGAAATGTGAAACAAATGTAAAATAAGTACAAAACTCACCATGCGCCCTATCTTTGCTGCCCTCCGAGATATGTAGCGCTTTCCCCTCTCTCTGTACCACTCCATGTACGCATGATTAGGTGACATCAAACCATATAATGGAGGTGGCAGTACAATATGTTGAATCCTAGTATTCCATCGATCAATGTGAGCCCTGAGCTTACGTCTCCAGTTCTCTTCAACCTTCCCCCGTAGAGTATGATCATGTATTCCTCTCAATTTTCTAGATTTTTCCGGGATGGGTTGATTAAGACCAAGCTGTCGCATGCACCTATCCGGTTGACATGCCTCAACTGTGTGGAAGTAGATAATAGGTGTGGGAGCTAGCCACAGATACTGCTGCTCTGGAGTCACGTCAAGCCACTCATATTCTATATACGGTTGCCACACCACCTACAAACAAAATGTGAAACAATATATAGAGTTACAAAAAAAAATAAACCCATAGACAAATAACAACACCGTAAGTATCTAACACCAAACCTCATCTCTACAGAGTGTGTCCAATGTTGCCCGATAATGGGTGACCTCATGAGGTTTAAACTTTTGTACAACATTAAACCTGTCAATCAAAAACATTATCAACCATACATAATCGTCCAAAGTCAAGAAGTATACAGTTAGTACATACAGTATTAAGCATACATTATCAAAATCAAATGAAGTAAATAAATCATACTGGCATCCATAATGTGTGCCCAGCTGTGGATGAGGAGGAAGGGGTGGAGCAATGGGTGGGAATCGTATCCATGCCCAAATTTGAAGGAGAATATGGCAACCACCCATGTCGCTTCGACGGGCATCTGTCACTTCACACAAATTCCTGAACAAGTGTGTCAAAACTGCAGATCCCCAGCTGAATCGGCCAATGTCCTCAAATCCTCCACCTAGCAACGGGACAAGCCGACAACCAAAATTGCTACCTCTAGACTTGTCCGCGAGCAACCAAGTCCCCAACATCCGCGCAATGTGAGCTTTTGTGAAGTAGATCTCGGCAACATGATTCCCTTCATGATCAGTCCACCGGGTATAATGTCGATCCAAGAATGAGATGCGGAGGTCGCCAGAATGATGGAACTCACCGGCCTCTGGAGCATGTCCAAAAACACCAGCACAAGCAGCGTGCCAATCCTCAGAGGTCGATCCGATGACGACAGTACCGTCGGTCGGCAAGCCCAAGATGCCTGCCACATCTTGTAAGGTGATCGTCATCTCACCTTGGGTCATGTGAAAGGTATGTGTCTCTGGTCTCCACCTCTCGACCAGAGAACTAATTAAAAATGTATCTATCTGTGATAAATTACGCAGTTATCACGTGTTAACGAATTACATTATTTAATTACATAAATACAAAACGACATAAATAACATACCTGGATATGTTGCATCCTGGCAACAGGATATGAAACCCGCTTGTCTGAGGTACTCTTCCACAACCTGTGGAATAACACCGGTAGGTGGGCCCCCTTGTGGCTTCCCACGCCTCGTCTTAATCTTTCTTACATGCTCAGTATTCCACACTCGCTGTGAAATATGACCTTTTTGCGTCCTCTGACGAAGGACCTCCCACCTGTAGGGTCCAGGTATGATCCACATGCTGGGATCGGTGGGCTCTACATCCGAATCAGATCCCGAAGAAGATGATGACTCAACCATTATCCTTAACTAACTACAAAGTTATGCACTCCCGCATTAATAACATCATACATACGAAATTTACAAAGTCTCTAACACTATTTATAAATCACTAATTAATATGTTAAACCCTGATACATAATTAAAAATCAGTAATAATAATAACTACGTAATAATAATATTACTATATCATTACAACATTCATAGCATGACACAAAATTTCTAAGTGACTATCCTAATGTTCCAAGTCTCTAATATACAATCAATCCTAACATGTATTACTAACTAGCACTGTAATTTAAATGTATACATATGAGGTATTATGACCTTACCTACGTTGGCAGAGCTTCGCTACGAACCGCGGTTAGAGAAAGGTTAGAGAGAGGTTGGAGAGAGGTTAGAGAGGTAAATGAGTAAGGAGTGAAAAAAGGAAAGTGGGGTATATATAGGTTGCACATGAGACGCCTAAACAGATATGTAATTTTTAACAAAATAGCATTAAATACGTAATTATTTTAATTAATTACATTATTTTAATTTTTTTGCCCTTTTATATGTTAGAGGAGATAAATATATTTCCAAACACCCCGCGATAGAACGAAAGAGCTAAGACAAAACTACAACAAAAGTGGTTTATGGTTTATCCGCTCACAGTTGGAACTTGGATTTCTCCGCCTTCTCTCCTAACTCCTTTTCCTCTTAACTCCTAACGAACTACTCTCTCTCTCTCTCTTATTTTTTCACACAGATCTTTGTCTTCTTGCAAAATGCAATCCTCGGTTTCGTTCTCTTCCTCTGGCAGCTCCTACTCTGCCATCATTTCGGGGCCACGTCACTGTTTCCCCGTCGCCGGTGGCAGTTTGAATCTTCGCTTCTGCGGTCTGAGGCGCCAGGCATTCGCTTTCACTTCCCTCAACCACCACCGTCGTCATCCACCGCACGACCTTCCCTCCCACCGGACACACTACAACACAGTATCCGCCGCGCTTTCCGACAACGGCACCCCTCCCAAATCGTTTGATTACGATTTGCTCATTATCGGCGCCGGCGTCGGCGGCCACGGCGCCGCGCTTCACGCTGTAGAGAAGGTACACTAAATGCTTTTGCTTCCATATTTTGATCACCAGAAAGCTTTTTCTTATTTTTTTTTGTTTGAAATTTATTTATTGAATTGAGAAATTCAGCTTAGTTCGTGTAAATTATTTTAGATGTTAATTTAATTACATAATTAAATTAAATTAAATCAACTTACAGGGTTTGAAAACAGCCATAGTTGAGGGAGACGTGGTGGGAGGGACATGTGTGAACAGAGGTTGTGTTCCTTCTAAAGCTCTTTTGGCTGTAAGTGGTCGCATGCGAGAATTGCGGAATGATCATCACTTAAAGTCGCTGGGATTGCAGGTAAAGATATTGTTGTGTATCAGGCTTCATTAATGGAAAATGTTTCAAATGTGTTTATAATTTCACTTCATGGTATAGAAATTGCTTGCATAATTTCGTTGCTTTTGTTGGTTTTTATTATTTCAGGTTTCTGCTGCTGGGTATGACAGACAAGGAGTTGCTGACCATGCTAATAATCTCGCTTCCAAAATCCGTGGTAACTTGACCAATTCATTAAAAGCACTTGGAGTGGACATACTCACTGGTTTTGGAACTATTTTGGTAAGTGACATATTGTGCTCTGTGAAGTCTGTGTATTCACTATTCAGGGATAAATGCTATTGGGATCGCCTTGTGAAATTGAATTATTTGTTTATTAGCCAAGGCTTCAATTTAAAATTTTAAATCACGAAACTGCAAATGGAGATTTTAACATTTTCATTTACTGCCTTATTTGTGAATCTGTGTAGGGTCCTCAAAAGGTGAAAGTTGGCTCCTCCAACAATGTAGTAACTGCAAAAGACATCATTATTGCCACTGGTTCCGTTCCTTTTGTTCCTAAGGGCATTGAAGTTGATGGTACACCTTACACTATATATTTATCTTTTCTCTCTTCACGACATTATTATTTTATGTTACCACCTCTAGTTTTACTCAAGTAAAGAACTTAGTTATAGGCATGTTTACCACCTACAAGAAATTGGGATATACATACTATCTATGAACAAGCATCATGTCAAGTCCCAAGTGGCTTCAGAAGTAGAGTGCTATCAATCATAAAAGTAGTCAGCATGCAATGGAAAGAAGATGTGAACAATTTATTATTGGAGATATTTTCTGATTGGTAGTTTATTAATATATAGGAATAGGATATTAGACTCTAATGAAATGTGCTTAAGGAGCTCTTTGTTCAGTACTTTATTGATACTGTCCCTCTTGTTTTCCATTTTCTGATATCATTACTCTTTGAAAACTCACCAAGTAATTACCTTTAGGGAAGACTGTGATTACCAGTGACCATGCGCTCAAACTGGAGACTGTTCCAGATTGGATAGCTATTGTAGGAAGTGGTTATATTGGCCTTGAATTCAGTGATGTGTATACGGCACTTGGAAGTGAGGTAGCACCTTTCTGATCCCCCCCCCCCCCCTTTTCTCCATTGTATTTTGTTCATGAGAAGAATCCCTAATAGTTTATTGTTTCTAACATTTTATGATGCCTGAAAGCTCGGTGTATACTGTAAACCTATGTACTTTTTTGTACTTGTTAAGTATTTATTAATACAAGAAAGTAAAAAAGAATTTTTTTGATATTATTCATTTTTTGTAAAATCTATATGTCCTAATTAGCATTGAAGGGATATAGTTGGTAATAATGGTATTCTGCAGGTTACTTTTATTGAAGCTTTAGATCAGCTCATGCCTGGATTTGATCCTGAAATTAGCAAGTTGGCTCAGAGGGTTCTCATAAATCCCCGGAATATTGACTATCATACTGGAGTTTTTGCAACCAAGGTAATTACCTCAGGTACTTTCTTCTTTAAATTTTTGTTGGGTCTCTACTTTGAATTGTCAGTCATCATGTTTTCTATATAGATCACTCCTGCAAGAGATGGAAAACCTGTCACGATTGAGCTCATTGATGCAAAGACCAAGGAACAGAAGGACACTTTAGAGGTACCTTAATTTTTTCCTGCAAGTTTTTTAGTTAATCACTTTGTTTTTAACCATTAAAATTTCTCCCACATAAATACTGATTGGCAAAGGTTGATTGGAGAAAACATGAGCTGGGAACAAGCTCACACAGAATTATTCAGTTTCGCTATTAGTAATTACCTTTGGTCATATGCTTGCTAGGACACCCGTAACACAGCTCATGATATGAGACGTTGTAATGAGATGTCATTTTCAAAATCGCGGGTTAATGTACTCACCATCTATATAGCATAGAGAGAACAGTACTAGTGTATGTTGCTGCACTGAGGCAGACAATTCTATGGCTGATGCATAACTGGGTTATGCTTCTTCTCCCTGATTTACCTGTTTTTCCCGCTTCACTAAATTTATAATTGACTGTGCTTAGCTTCAGAGCCTAGTTGCTTCTGTATCTCCGTTGATTTAGGTCTAAGAACTGAAATCCTTAAAGATTTGTAGTGTTAGAAATATGATTTACAAGTGGGGAACCATTGTAACTATCTAAAAATCTCAATTATAGATCACTTTTTTAAATATATGTTTTTACCTTCATATTTAATTACTGAATGTTTACAAGGTGTGAATTCTGCTGAGCTATAGGTGGATGCTGCACTGATAGCAACTGGAAGGGCTCCATTCACACAAGGTCTCGGATTGGAGAATGTATGCCTTTCTAACATAATTGTCTTTAGGATGAAAAGTTTCCCCCGAATAATTGGATTTTTTTTTTTACATGTTCCTGCAGATTGATGTTGCAACACAGCGTGGTTTTGTTCCTGTGGATGAGCGCATGCGTGTAATTGATGCAAATGGAAACCTGGTTTGTTTCAAATTTCTCCTGCATGCATTATTTTTCTCTTGCTCTGACCTATTGTTACTGATTTAGGATATGGAATGATAGGTGCCTCATTTATATTGTATTGGTGATGCAAATGGCAAGATGATGCTTGCTCATGCTGCCAGCGCACAAGGAATTTCGGGTAAGAGTCAACTAATGTAATCTTACTACAAACATTTGAGCCATTTGCTTCCGTTTCACTTAATGAAAAGATTGTTGGACAGTGGTTGAACAAGTCACTGGAAGAGATCAAGTGCTGAATCATTTAAGCATACCAGCTGCTTGTTTCACTCATCCTGAAATCAGCATGGTTGGATTGACTGAGGTATATCATTTTTTTTAAGTTGATGTTTCATTCTCCACCTGCTGCTTGTTTCCTTCTTTCTTGAACACAGTTAAATTTCCCCTCATACATTCTTCTGCTCTGTAACCCGTTTCCCCCTATATTATTTATACAACAAAGTTACTTCTCGTTGTCCTTCACTCAGATGAACTCATGTATTATGATCAAACATATTATATGCAGCCTCAAGCTAGGGAGAAAGGTGAAAAGGAGGGTTTTGAAGTAAGTGTTGCCAAAACAAGTTTTAAAGCTAACACAAAGGCCTTAGCAGAAAACGAAGGGGAGGGTCTTGCCAAGGTCATATTTCTGTATCTTTTGACGTTAAAATATTTGATTTTAAAATTTGTTTGGGTTTCCTAAAGTAGAATCACTTTTTAAGTGTAATTATAGGAATATTTTTGGAAAATTACTGTGTCCCACTTGTTAAAATTGATTTTGTAGTCTTGATTGTTGAATAAATTGAACAGGAGAAGCAAGAAAAACATTTTATTATAATAACCAATTCTACAACCTTGAAAGATGTAAGAATTAATTTTGTACAACTACCCAAACATGCTGGTAAAGGGATGATTATAGACTCTCCAAAACCTAAACAACCAGCCCCCTGGTATATAAGATCAGGAAGCTGCTATTGGGTGGGGGTTTCGATCCCCCAGCATGTCATTTCCCCATTCCCCCCTTCTATCCCAATTGTAGTCTCCTGGTTACCCAAAAGAATCTAAACAAATTGGACCTAACAGTTAGCTGCTGATGATGGGTTTTCTACTAGAGAATTACTTTGGTGATATCGAATTTATTTGGCTGTGAAAGCAGGGGGTCCTGGTTTACTCGTTCACTCTTAACACAACTTATCTAGATGCATTAATACTCTCTTCCAACCATCTTAATTGTTTCCTAACTATCATTATGCCGTTTTCATGCAGTTGATATACAGACCTGACAACGGAGAGATACTAGGAGTTCATATTTTTGGGTTGCATGCTGCAGATCTCATCCACGAGGCATCCAATGCAATAGCATTAGGGACACGTATTCAGGTAATTTAACCTACCAAAGCTGTTATTTGCTTGAGCTCGGCATTTAGTTATTAATGGCTGCATGTGCTACATTGACAAATAAGGTTCATTTAGTCTATGTTCGTTGATAAATTTACTTGTTAATAGCCACAAGAATCTTTTTATTCCTGTCTATTTGGTAACTAACAACCTTTTTGTGGTACAATGCAGGATATAAAATTTGCAGTTCATGCTCATCCAACTTTGTCTGAGGTGCTTGATGAACTATTTAAATCAGCAAAGGTGAGCTATTCATGATTTACTTCCAGACTTGCACTTATATACGTACACACATAAATAGTTTGTTGTGCCTGGTTCATTTATACGCGCTCCCATCCAATTACTAAGACAGGTTTCTAGCTTAGTAAAGGAACCAGTTGCAGTCTAAGCTTCCCGAAGTATACACTTCACTAGAAATTTGCTTGTACGAGGGAGTTTCAAGATATTTCACATCTTCAGGCGTAACACATCAGCACATTCAAATTCCTGTAAAGAAGGGAACTTTTGAAGGAATCAAGCCAATGGCCTGAAGAATAGTTGGGCAACGATATCTTATTTTCTTGGCATATTGTTAGTGAATATTAAAGATACTTATATTCGTTATTACTCTAGTTATGGTCGTCTAGACTAGATGCTACATTAGGGAAGGGTTTCAAAGAGTGGCCTACTTTTTAGAGTGCTTGAGTTTTGAACCCAATACATGGTTTTCATTAAATAACAACGTGGACACACTCGGTCCACCAGTAAAAGCTTGAGATTGGTTCTTGATCTTTTCTTCCTTCTGTATACGGTGTCATTCGCATTGGTCTTTCCAAGCGGACTATTGATATGTCAAGACGAACTCCAAGCATCCAAATCCTGATATGACCAAGTTGGCTTTGTAGTCATTACGTTCATGTATAATTTAAAAAGTAAATTGAGAAAAAAAAAACAAGTTTTTTCAAAAATTAATTTGAATGTAAATTTTGAAAACTAATTTAAAAGAACCATAAAACCTATTTGAATATGGTTAGATTTAAAGTTATAAAAAATTTATAATTATTTTAAAATACCATTAATGAAATTTTATAATTATAAAATTATCACTATAGAGTAATTTAAAATAAAAAAATTAAATTTATTAATGAAAGAATCATTAATAAATCTTCATGTTTATAAAATTGTCATAACAAAAAAAAGAAAAGAAAAAACCGAAAAACAAGTTCTGATAACATTCCTAGATTATTCTGCAATTTTTAATTTTTAAACAAAAACATAATTATTATTTTTTGAGTCATTTTTTTTTTTTTTGAAAATATTCCAATCGGTTCATTGCTTCGTAATTAATCCGATTCGGGACGGGTCCAGGATTAAGGCTTTAAACCCCTCCCAAAGGTGGTACTGGGAAGATTCGAACACATGCTCTCACCCCCACCTACTTAGCTCCCATGCGCCAACTGAGCTACCACCATTTGGTGAGAGTCATTTTTTCAAAACAATCCTTTCCAAACAGATTTTTTAAAAAAAAAAAACTCCAAAACTCTAAAACCAAACATCCCTGTATTTTCCATATACTGAAAACAAATTCTGATGTTATCCTACAGAAGATTGCATCGTAACCTACAGACCCCTTATGATGACAAAAGATAAACCAACTTGAAGCACAATCGATACTGCCACAATCTGTAGAACACAAAATCCCTTTATCATTTACATCTATATACAGTATAATCCATCTACCCCACCTCAATGAATATAAAATTTTCCAGAATCTAACCAGACTCATTTTTCATATAGGTTCCCATATCAGTTGCTCAAACGGTAGGATTAGGAGACAGAGTCACATTCCAACACTCCTCATCTCACAACAGTTGCTTCTGAAGCCACTAAATGTAGACAGTAGACCAATTACTAAGGGGTTTGGAACACACTAGTACTAACATCGAACATAGTCATTCCACAATAGTTTGATTTCAATCCATGAATATAACAGCGGCAACGGACTTATAAAATTAGTTTATCCAAGTAAAATTAGTTTCATATCCTATATAAAACTAACTTTGCTCCTGTCAACTAGGAGGTTAGGACCACACACAAAGGATGATCTAAGTGAAACTGAAAAAGCAAACTTCAATCCAACAACAATCAACACGGCATCTCTACTGAAATCCTGGGAAAAGGATCTCCCAACAAGAATTCAAACCAACCACCTCTATAAACGGTTTAGCAAGACTACATGTACTGTGGTCGAAGGGAGTGCTTCTTTACCTGCCTATAATGTCTTAGGAAAGCGATCAGGTTTATAGTTTCCTCTGAACTGTAATTAATACAAGGTAGAGAGTAAGGGGGGAGAAATAGCCAAAAATAGCCTTAAAATGTAAACAAAACACATACATTATGGTCCCAATTCCATTTCATTCTCAATAGAACAGATGAATCTGTGCAATGACTTCAATTGGCGTAAATTGTAAAATTCCTTTTGCTTCCATCAACATAAAAAAAAAAGGTTCAACAATGTATTATGAGAGGGATTGGGACTAATTTAGAAGCACTCCCTCTTCTTCCCACTTCATTCTCAAAGACTAAAATAAGCAGGAATGGATCCTCTCATGTGGAAAATGGTCATGTTATTTGATCACAACCACTCATTGATGATGAGATAAGAGAGAGAAAAGTGTATAATTTTTAAATGAGTGGTTGTGATCAAATAACACATGACCACTTTTCCACATGAGAGGATCCATTTCCAAAATCAGCCAAGCGTATATCCAAAACCCTTTCGCTCTTTCCTCTTTTGGGTACATGTTAAGTTATAATATAATGCAAACCCAAGCTTCTTCCAATCAAATAAAGATCCTAATGTATGATGCAGTGCTAAACATTAAAAGCAGCAGAGGTTCTGACATGAGTATAACCATAGCAGTGACTGAAAACACAAGTACCTTAATATTCCATTAACAAAAAATGAAGGGTCTTTAACAGAAACCAGGAAAAATGCTATAACATAACTGTATTCTATGTGGACGAATTGATTCAACTACTAAAGATAGACTTGACAATAAGGTTACCATAAAAAAACAAACAGAGCTTAAAAACCACCCTAATAGTTCCGTTTGAGAGTTCCACTTCACTCTTCCTCCGTGGCTGCTTCATCACTCTTCTTGTTGTGCTTCCTCGCGTACCTCTGGTTCCTCAGAAATTTCGGATCCATCTACACCAATTGCCAACAACAGAAAAACGCAAAAAAATTTAATAACCCGAAAATTAGTAAATATATATCAATAAAGAAGAGAACCCCACTGAAAAAAATTACCCCTTTGGTGGAAGTGTGGCGGTGCTTCTTAGGTTTTTTGATGCCATTCTTGTGGGCTTTGTAGGACTGGTTGTGAGCTGTGTGGTTCTTCGACTTCGCCATCTCTGCAATCAGCGCACGCAAAATTAGAGGATAACGAAAAGGGGCAAAAAAACAACGCAAAATTTGAAGAATTTTGTGATGAAATTGTAAGATACGAACCCTAAAGCAAAGTAAAAGTAAAGGTGCTGTTCGGCTAGGGTTTTTCGCAGATGGCCTTTTATATGTAACGAAGACTTTCAGAATTTTCCCCGTTTAATGACGATAATACCCTTTACGGTAAAGTAAGGCCTGCAGCTCGGTGTGTAACTGTTTTGGGGAAAGACTGAAGAGGCCCAGAAATGAAAGTTCATCAAAAACAGTCCAAACCAAACTCGAGAATTAATAATTTTTTTGTTTAAAACATGAATGAGTTATAAGGGTTTAAATGAGTTAGGCCGGCCTACAAGAATCTACGGCCTAGTTTATATTAGCTCAGACTTAGCCTATTACAAATAGTAAAATAGAATAGGTCTAGACTTTTAAAAAAGCCTATTTAAAAAGTAAGTCACAGACTTTTTTTGTACATGTTGATCTTATAGGCTGGCCTATATCATATTATTTTAAATAAAATAAATAAAATTATTATTTTAAAATTTTTGAATAATAAAGTATTATTATTTTAGTTATTTTTTTAATTATTAAATATTTAATAGGTTTAAACAGGCTAATAAACCTAGACCAAGACTTTTATTTTTTAAATGTAAGTCAAGTCAGACTTGTAACTTGAGGCCTATACAGGCTAAAAGGCCAGGCCATACATAAAGTCTTTTACATAAACCTGACCAATTTAAGTCAAAGTTTAACCTAGTCTATTTATACCCCTAAAGAGATAGATACTCAATTGGTTGCCTAAGCTTGTGGAGATTTCAAAAAGATAAAGATTTAAGATATGAAATAATGAAATTTAAAAAAGAAAAAAAAAAAAGAGCTAACATGGTTGATTTGTGTACTCGATATCATGATTATTATAGTAACATAACTTGGATTTAATTTTTGAGCTTTTATATGAGGAAGTGATATGTAATTTTATTATAAAATTTGGTTGTTTCTTTTTGTTTTAAAATGAAAATAATAAATACATTTTTATATTATGGTTTGACCATTCTTAAAGTACTAGATAAAATAACTGCACATTAAAAAACAAAACAATTTGTGGTTTCTAAAAAGGAAAGGCATAAATAAGCCCTTTGAATCAAAATCACAACTCACGAGTCACGAGGCCAGCCACCAACCTTGGTCTGTCTTCCAGTCTCCAGTTTGAAAAGGAAAAGGTTTTTAAAATAAAATAAAGAAAAGAAAAGATAAAAAGAAAAAGAAAAGAAAAAACAGATCTTCATTCCCACCACGAGATGCGTTTGCAACGCTGAAGTGCCTAAAGAGACAGACACGTGATTTAGGAAAATCTGTGGGATCTGGTTCCTTTCCATTCCCCTACCTGCGATCTGGGACTTTCTCCCTCAGATTCAAACATTCCCTTCTCCATTTTTGGATTTTCTTCTCAAACTCATTATGTTCCTCTTTGACTGGTTCTATGGCGTTCTCGCTTCCCTTGGTCTCTGGCAAAAAGAAGCCAAGATTCTCTTCCTTGGTCTTGATAATGCCGGCAAGACCACCCTCCTTCACATGCTCAAAGACGAGGCTCGTCTCCCCCCTTAACATCATTTTCATTATGTCATCTTTTTACCCTTTATGAATGAATATGTATTTGAATAGTTGAAAAATGAGATTTTTTTATTTTTTATTTTTATATTCAATCGCAGAGATTAGTTCAGCACCAACCAACCCAACATCCCACTTCGGAGGAATTGAGCATTGGGAAAATAAAGTTTAAGGCTTTTGATTTGGGTGGTCATCAAGTTGCTCGCAGAGTCTGGAAAGACTATTATGCAAAGGTTATTTTGCTTCAACCTCTTGATCTTTCCGTTAATTATTGATTTCTGATTTCTCTTCAGTGATTATTTGCTACTCTTCATGTTATTTACAGTTTCTGAAAGTGGGATTTCTTTGTTATAATAGGTCCTCCATGTTGGTTATAACTTTGTTATCATATACTGTCCCTGCAATGTAATATAAGATAATGCATGGTTTTGAAGTGACTTTTTTTTTAAGTGCCTTGGTGCAAATTTGTTTTTCTGTTGGAGGGGATGGATTATAGCTGTTGATAGGTGTAACATTTTATTGTTTCATTGATGACCCAATTGCTCTTGGCAATGTTATGATACAACTAAGATGTTCAAAACCCAGTTATTGTAGCTCCTATATGCACTTAACTTCATTGGATTTCATTTCATGGGAATAGTATTTCTAGAGTAATGCTTCTAAGTTCTAATACATTGGTTGGTTATACCTTTACTTTCATGCTGGCTTGTTCATTAGTTTTCCTGTACGGACTGTCAGATTTTCAGCTGAGCTGGTGCTTGTTCTTGTGATCTTTTGTTGATGTACTGTTGCTGTTTCTGTAACTCTTTGAATCTTCTCAGCATCTACATTTTAGATTCTGGCTCTATACAACTTTTTCTGATTCATTCTTGTTAATAATATACTGTAACACAAGTATTGCCTTGATTTTCATTAGTACTCACCAATTATGCCTTCATAATCCCAGATAAAGCTCTTTGTATTTATCTGATTCATGGGAGGCAAATATTGATAGTGGAAGTTTCGCTGATAGCACCCCTTAAAATCTTTCTGGAGGTGTTTACTAGTTGCCTTCCAAACATGTCCTGTTTCCACCTGATGCATTAGAGAAAACATCATACAGAAGAGTGGAGAAACAAATAACAGATGCATAGATCTGTGTGAAAGGATAATTATTAAACTTTCCAATAAATTGAATCATCCTTTTCAAGCATTAGAAGATGCAGATGTAAATTGATATACTGTTTCACCTTGAGGAAGAAGTGGTATCCAGAAACAAAAGTTTGAAGTTAGTTTGTAATTATTGCTTAGTATCTTGATGCATCACCTTTCTATTCACCAATCAGCTATATGTTTGACTCACTAATTTATTACTTCCTATGTTTGACGTGACTATATTTCAATGTACTATAACTTCTTGAAGCTTGGTGGTTTGTTTAGCAACAATAAGTTTTTCACTTATCGTTCATTGCCTAAGCTGCAATGAATTTAATACTTCTTATAGTTGTTAGGTATGGCCTTAGAATTCTCACCTATAACTGCTTTGCAGGTGGATGCTGTTGTTTACCTTGTTGATGCCTACGACAAAGAGAGGTTTGCAGAATCGAAGAAGGAGCTTGATGCCTTGCTTTCAGATGAATCCTTAGCAATTGTTCCATTTCTTGTGCTAGGCAACAAGATTGACATCCCGTATGCAGCTTCAGAAGATGAGCTACGATATCATCTAGGCCTAACCAATTTCACCACAGGCAAAGGAAAAATCAATCTCTCAGATTCCAACCTTCGACCTCTTGAAGTTTTCATGTGCAGCATCGTTCGCAAGATGGGATATGGCGATGGCTTCCAGTGGCTTTCCCAATATATCAAGTAGAGTCAGCATCTTTTTTGTTCCCCTTTCCCTGTCAACTAGCACTGTCTGCAGTTACATCAGAAGAGATTTTACTCTTTGTTTTTGCTTTTGATGATTTTGATTGGATTATTTGATACAACTGCAATGAAATTACATGATAAAATTTGTATCTTCAAAGATTTTTTTGAGGGAATATTCTCCTTTAAAATATTCTACTCTGTTGTTGGGTGATATGACTTCGCAGAAACTCAAATAAATTGAAGAATCTTATTCCACTTTCTTCCCTGTTACACATGAATGGAAGCAGAGTTTTCTCTTATTTCCTTCTTGTGATGAAATATGCTATTCACGTAAAGAATTTAATTTAATACATGGTAAGATTTATAACATTGTTAAATTTATTAAATAATGTGATAATATATTATTAAAAGTAGTGTATAACAATATAAAGAGGCGAGTCTGGTGATAAAATTGCTCCTTTGTAATTGGAAAGTTAGTGGATGGAATTTGAAAAATTGCATACATGGATTGTCCTCACCCTCGTTAGCTTGGGTTTAATTGTGAGTGACTTTTTGTTGTATTAGGACATTAAAATTATAGTCATGTTTAAATCCTCAAAAGAAACCCATGGTGAAGGTGTCTCTTGTCATATTTCAAGTGTAGGAGGGCCGAATAAGAGTAGAAAATGATATGGGCATGATAAGTTCATATCTTGTCTTATGCTTGATGTGTACATAGATTGTTTTCACCTATACTCTCGTTTTTTTTTTTTGGAAATACAAGGAAATAAAACAAGAAACATTAAAGACAGATCATTCTGGGTGTAGTAACACCCCTTAAATCATTCTGGACCAGCATCCAACATTCTTTGGGAGGGTTATGCAGAACTTGCACTCCCCTACCTTGACTAAAAGCCATATTCGCGAGTTTATCAATACTTGGTTTCCCTCTTTGTGGACGTGAGAGATCATCACCACCCAGTCCCTCCTTATAAGCTGTAAAAGGGTTTATTCCTATCAGCTCCAGACCTAATGAGGCCAATAGCAGTAACCGAGTCTCCTTCAAGACAAATGTTCCTCATCCCGGAAAGCCAGGCTATCTCCAATCCAATGAGGGACCCCCATAGCTCCGTCATCAAAGAGTTTCCAGTCCCAATGTTCTTAGTAAAGCCCAGAATCCATCTACCCATGTCATCACGATAGACACCTCCACATCCCATCATCCTACTGTTCTGCTTGTACGCACCATCAGTGTTGATCTTCATAAAGCCTTGACTTGGAAAGTTCCACGTGATTAAGACTTCCCGCTTGGCGCTAGGGTGAATGCCAACCTTCTGAATGATGGCGTCCGATTGGTCCATAGCCACTAGGAAATCAAGAGCACGAATGGAAGTAGCGTTATTTGCGTCAATTCTTCCATTAAAGACCATATTATTCCTTTCGTGCCAGAGAAACCAACACACAACCCCAAAGAGTCTGGACTAGTGGCGCCGTTGAGAGGGTGCCCCCTTCCACTGGAGGTTGGATTCTAGCCAAACGGGTAGATTGGTATCGAAAAAGAAAGAATTCATTCTCCCATCCAAGAGCTTGCACCAGGTTTCGCGGGCCCAATGACAGTCTCTAAATATGTGAATGATATCTTCAGTATGGTGGCTGCATCTAGGACAAGAAGCCGAGGGTGATATGTGTCTCCTAACTCTCATATCATTCGTCATGAGGTTGCTGCCAATCAAGAGCCAGAGAAAAGTCTTGATTTTTTTAGGGCCATCCTAGTCCCAAGCCAGTGACCAATTGACCGGATTGTTTTCCACTGTCCTGTGACTGATTAGATTGTACGCAGATTTAACTGAGAAAACACCATCATTACTGAGATCCCAGGTTACACAGTCATCCTCGTCGTCAGGCATTGGAGGAATTGTCCCAGCCCAAAAATTCAAGATGTGTTCAGGGAGGATGTTTTGGATCAGGGCCCAGTTCCACTCACCAATTCTTGTGGTATAATCTGTCACCTTCCAGTCCTTCACCTCATCAGGGATCAGTTCTAAAGTCAAGTTGATCAACTTGTCAGTTAGCCATTTTTCGAGCCAGAAGTTTGTTGTCCTCCCATCTCCCACCAGTATCCTGGACCCAGTGGTGATGCTCTCCCAGGTCTTGCAGATGCCATTCCACAAGTTAGACACCCCATTCCTCCGAGTGATAGTCGAAATTAACTCATTCCCAACGTTATATTTATCACGAACAACCTGGGACCAGAGAGTGTCTCTTTTGGTTAGTAGCCCATGCCCTACTTTCATAACCAACGCCTTGTGAAATTCTCTCATGTGTTCCAAGTTTAGGCCATCCTCATTTTTTGGAGAGCACAACTTATCCCAATGCACCAAGTGGATCCTTCTGTGCATCGGGGTTGAACCCCAAACAAATCTGCGGGTATGTTTCTCCAGCTCATCACACGCAGACAAGGGGATGAAAAAGGACTGCATGGAATACGTGGGAAGAGATTCCAACACGGACTTCGCTAAGGTGACTCTCCCAGCCATAGATAAAGCAATCGCATTCCAGTTGCTCATATGTTTCTGAACCTTGTCTGAGATGTGCGCGAAGGACCTCCTGTTAATTCTGCGATGATGAAGGTGGAAAACAATCTGCTTGATTTCCTGGAAGGAAGGGATTTTAATTAGCGCCTCTAGGTCAGTGGGAGGGATGGCAGAAAATCTTTGCTTTGAGGGGAGAATAGGTCTGTCATGAACATCCTCTCTATAAAGCTCCATGAAATACTGACTGGCTAAACGAATCATGTCATCCACATCTGTTATCCATTCCCCAAGATCATCCTTAATGGCCTCTATTCTATTTCTTCTTCGTCTAGCCACAGTTGAAGCATGATTTTTTTTTTTTGTTTCTGTCACCGTACTACATCCAATTGCAACGAGAGCGCTGGAACCATGTTAGCTCCTCCTGGACTAGGATAGTCTCAAGTTCCTGCCATAATTTCTTCTGCAGAGAGATCAGGTCACAGAAAGGTTGGACGCTTAATTGGTTGTCTATCCCCCTCAGTCTAGCAAAGAGCATTTTCTTCTGCTTCGCTTTTTCTCTGAAGGAGTTTTAGTGCCAATGGGATGCAGACTCTTCAAAGCAGTTCCTCGCCTCCTCCCAATTGTTGTCCTCCTCCCAACAATTCCTGACAATGTCACTGAAGTCATCTGTAGTTAACCAAGCTGCCATGAATCTAAATGGTTTGGATCCATAAGGGCTAGGTTTAGGTTTACTATATCATGAATAAGGAGCACGCGGTGGTCCGAATTGAAGTAAGGGAGGTGAGCAACGAATCTATGAGGCCAAGAAAGGCTCCAGGCTTCATTACTACACGCTCTATGTAACATCCTGAGCGCTGACGAGGGCGGGGAGTGATCGCCGGTGCAAAGAGGAACGAACAAGGAGCGGCTCCTGACAGGCTTCCAGCGGGGGGTTACATGCATGAATGAATCGAATCAACACCCGAAAGAGAGGGATTTCAAAGGCTGTGCAGGTATAAGACTGCAGAGTTTGGGATAGCTTATAAGAATTAATTGGTACTACCTATGCTAACAAGATGCATCTGCTTTTCGGTAGCCCGGATCGGAAGAACTCCACAGTTAAGCGTTCTTGACTTGGAGCAATTCTGGGATAGGTGACCTACTGGGAAGTTTTCCCGGGAAGTGTGCGAGTGAGGAAAAAGCACACTGAAAAGTCTCGTGTTAGTATGTGGGGATAGTCATTGATTCTTAAAGCGGTCGGGCGTTACAAGTGGTATCAGAGCAGGGCCTCTCATCTAGTACGGTGTGGTTCGAGGACGAACCAGGCGGAAGCTGATTGGCATGTAACATCTCGAGCGCTGACGAGGGCAGGGAGTGATGTGCCTCTGGCAAGTGTGATTTTCTGTGTTAAAATTGATAAGAATTGAGTCATAAAAGAGCAACTTAAATACATATTTGCTAATTATATTGATTCTTTCTTTTCAATAATATTTCTCACTTATTGGTTGTGTTTTTACAGGAAAAGAAGTGAAAATTATAAAAAGCCTGTTCCTGTCAATACAATTCCACCCAGGTGCAGCATAGTCCAAAGTCCAGAGAAATGGCGCCACTTAGCGCCAAACTCATGCTAAGTGGCGCCAAAGTAAAGCATCATGGCGCCTCCTAGCATCATGGCGCCACTAGGCGCCCACAAAGAAGGAGGATGGCGCTAACTGGCGCCACACCGGCGCTAACTGGCGCCGGTTTGCGGGAAAGAAGTACCGTGCTGCGCGAAGGGTATTTTTGAGAGAAGGAAAATAGTCATATAAATAGGATCCTTAAAACAGAATTAGGTATTCAGACCTATTCTTCTGAAGAGAGACGACGGCAGAGCTCTGAGGGGATTCCTGGGATCAAGTTCTTCTTCTCTTTTCTTCTTAATTTTATGCTTTTGAATATTGGATTATTTTTAGCCATGATTATGCTTGGCTAGTTTTCTTTTATTGTAGTTAGGGTCACAAACCCTATGTGAACCCTTGTTACGCGGATTGATTTATAATTGCTCGTTTATATATAATTATCTTTATCTCTACCTTGTTCGTATTTGATATTTTCTTTATTAGAATTGATCACTCTAATAGTTGATAATAGTCTGAGGGTTAGAACCCTAGATAGGGATATTGGGGTTTTCATCCTGAAAGGGGGTAGGATAACGGTTCGTATGCATACTAGGAATAGATGTGTATTGAATTGCGGATGCCTAAATGATAGAGTTCATCGCTTAATTTTCATGAGGGGTTGCTAAGGGATTGGGATTCTAATTGGGGATTAAAGGGTTAAATTGCCAAGGGATTGAGATTTAACTAATTATTTTAGATAATAATTTATCCGAGTAATTATATGAATATGTATTGTGAATCAATCCAAAGTAAGAAGTGGGGATCATAAGGTGAGTGCACTCTAGCTACAATGTTTTTCTCATATTTTTAAATCAATTCTCATTGTTATTGTTTTATTTCTCTTAAATAAAAATATAAAAATAAGTCTTTATTTCATATTGTTACTCAAATTCAATTCACAATTTTCCAAACAACAAACCGAGTTTTCCAACTTAAGGGGACTGGTTATTGTAGTACTTGGTTTACAATCCCTGTGGAGACGATACGCTACTTACTTCTATATTACTTGTGCGATCGGTATATTTGCCGGAGAGCATCAGGGAGTGATCGTCGGTGCAAAGAGGCACAG